CATGTCGCTTCCTGGTTAAGCATTTAACTTACTATACCCATGGGTATAAAAGTACCAGCTAAGGAGGCTGATGCCAGATAAAATGAGAGTGGTCACTCAGTGCAAATGTCCAACGATCAAGGAGCGCAGGAGGCGGACACCGTGGAGAGGCCACGAGCCCTGCGGGTTGGGCTGTGAGGTCGGAGGTAGCCTGTCTCCTTCGTGGACACAGCATCCTTCACCCGTCGCAGGTCCAGAGCAGCTGTCTGTCACCAAACCCTTCTGCTTCCGTAAGTTTCCTCCCTTCTGTGGCGATGGGGAGGCTTGGTCACATTTTGGAATGTGGTAACTTCCCATTTTTCAGGTGTTTACATCACTGCTCTTGGTTTTCTTGTCTTCATCTGTGAAATGGGCTGAAACCAGTTCCTACTTCATGGTTTCTTAGGACAGCGCTGTTACATAAACGCTCAGTGACGCTCATTCCTGTTGTATCGTACTTTGCAAGAATAAAGGGGATGCAAAGATCCAGTCCATACCCTCACCTTCAACTTGGATGAAGGCGTGGTCCCTCCGTCTACACAGCTGCGTGCCGTGCGCTGCCTCTGTGACCAGCGGCTGGCTTCCGAGGAACCAGGACGGACACCTGCCCTTGCCACCACCCACAAAGTTGCCATGCTGACACGCCAGCCTCTGAAAACAAACGTGCTCTAGAAACAGGTCTTTTTGAAGGATAAGTTCAAACGTGATCCTTTACCTTTCAAAAGGATGGACGGCAGTTCTTATGAAGCTGAGTCCCACAACTCAGCTTATGTAAAACACAACGATGTGGATAATAGTTCCATTGAGTCACTGGAACGAGGCCGCCTATTTCCAGAGCTCTGCTCTGAGCCTGGTCAGACCTGGCCACGTTGCCTTGGAAAACGTGTCTTCAGAAGCGGACCAGGTTCACAGCTGAGGGTGTTTCCCTTCCCGTCGCCCTCCTCTCCTGGTGACGTCGTTCCTTCTGCAAACGTCCGGGGGCTCCTACCTCGCCCCAGGCCTGGGTGCCGCGTGGCTCGGGGAGCCTGTCAGGCACAGCCTCCCGGGCACCCCCTTCCTGGGCTTGCAAATCCCCCCAAAGCACCCTCACCGTGTGTCCAGGGCTGCAGTTTCCAGGGCATGTGACATTTTCCCTGTGGAGGCCCCTTTCCCCTTAGTGCCATCAAAGGAGAATTGGTTCCATTTTTTTGCCGTGATCCTTTCAGCCTTAATCATTACATCATTACTGTACATTCCACAGGTGCAGCATCTCATACTCTGTCTCGTTTAACCCTCACAGGGACCTCGCAGGAGGCGCTATTACTAAGCCCGTCTTGGGGATGAGAAAACGGAGGTCGAAGGATTTGTCAGGGACGTGGGACCAGGAAACAGCTGAGCTTCCTATAGCTTCGCCCTGGTTTCTGGGGCCGCAGTGTCCGTGCTGCCAGCAGGATGCTCCCATCTCCAGATCGACCCCTTGGGCCCTGGCAGCTCGGAGGCCGTGCTGGTCTCGGCAGGAGGACGTGGCTCCTGGGAGGAGGGGCTCTCGATGGCTGGCCCTGCCCCTTCCCATGTGTCCACTGGGCAGCTGCCAGGACCTCCCCCTCCCCACTTCCCGGCACCGGCCGACACTCGTGTGCCTGAGACCTCAGTGCCTCTAGGCCTCAGTCAACACCTGCTTCCCTGGCCCCTTCCTCTGTGTCTCGTCCACCTGCTGGGATCCCTGGCTCAGCGGTAATTAGGTCCCTCCCTGCAGTTCAGCTGCGCTCGGCCTCCTCCGCCGTGAAGACCGCCCGGAGCAGCTGGGCTGGCGGCAGTGGCTTTGGCATCTGCACAGTGGCCTGTGACCTCCCGCCAGCCGGAGACCTTCGTTCTTCCACGGAAAGCCCTGCCTCCTTTTTCCAGGGGAGGGCGAATTCTGCTCACCCCTAGGAGAAGCGTCTGTTCCGAGAGTTCTGTACCACGGCTCCCAGCGTGAAGCCACAGCAGGTACACCAACATCACACTGCAGTGGGTGGAGCGACAGCGAGAGGGGGAAGGCGCTCGGGGCTGAGGGCGCCTCCCAGGCCAGCCCTCCGACAGTCCTCCAGCGATAGGTCAGTATTTGGCTTCTCGGCTTCCTGTACCGCTCGTTCCTTCCAAGGCACCTCCGTCCTCTGCCAAGGAGAACGTTCCAGTTCCGCACACTGGCCTCCTGAGCTACTCCTCGCTTCCACCCAGTCGTCCAAACGTGAGTAGCTTGGCGGTTGGTTCCACCACGCCTTTAACTTGAAATGTCACATCTGTGTCATGTTCACGAGAGCAGCTAAGCATCAGGGACGGCGGGTTCCTGGGACTTGCCTGGACTTCGCATAACTTACCTCGGAGCCTCTGAAACCTCAGCGCGTGCTCCAGGGAGATGACCGTGGCGGCTGTCTGATGACCGGGACGGTCCTGATGGAGGGCCGGATGGCTGAGCACCACACGCCAGTCTCCCTGTGGCCTTAATGAGTCGGGAGGTCGGGGTTTCTGTGTGTCCTGAGGTCCGGCACAGGTGGCTTCGCTGCAGCCCTTGTAGATGGGAAGCCAGCATCCACGTGCCAGTGACAAGACAGGCCCTGCGAACGTGGCTCTGGTCTGGTTGAATGTGTCCCATGGCCTTTCCCGTGAGAAAGGGCAGCAGTTTCGGAGCCTAAAATAAGAGCCATTTTACTTGCTTTCGTGGATGAGAAGGTGTAAAAATGCCAAGTGGGGCTCCCTTCTGCCACGTCTCCACACCTCAGGGTCCCATACGGGGGGCCGAAGACCACGGTGGGGCCGAGAAAACCCCTCTGTAAGTGGGTGAGAGGGCAGAAAACAGGACTGGGGCGTGAGGGCCAGACGCTGGGGTGTGCACGGTGGGGTCCCCGTGGCTGAGCTGGACCCTCTCCCCGGTGCCCAGCACCTGCTCCCCACTCAGAGTCGGGAGGAGTAGCCAGTGACCCCAATTCAAATGAAGCGTCGGTCGGTTAACAAGAAGAAGCCTTGAGTCCAGGGGGCGGCCAAGCGCCCGCAGGTTTCTGGGTTGGTCGGCGGTGGATGTGGGTTTGGAAACTGTGTCGCCGCCATCGCCCGGGGGACGCCTCGCTTTAGGCTCGGCCGCGGGGTGGCCTGCAGACGGCGGGTCAGCTGTGTAGTGCAGGGACTTCAGCTGAGAGGCCGCCACCAGGCTCCCTGTCATATCTGCCATCACACACGGGTACCGCAAAACACAGTTTACTACGAAAACTACAATGTGCTCACGTCCCATTTGGAGGTGAGATACCATCAAGCTGTAGCTCAGTTGTCTTGAAATATGAAGATACCAGAATATGATAAAGGCTCTCGAAATGCATCTCCCCTCCACCAACTCGTCAGATAAACGCACCTGGCTGATGTGTTGGCCCCCAAACCGAATCTCATTAGAAATCTGAATGAGATTGGTGGAGTTTCCTTTTCTAAAAGGGACGCACGTTGAAACGTTCTCTAAAAAGTCAGCTCTAAACTAATATAACTGTTATTTGTCCAGAGAAGAGGTTCCTTCCGAGTTCCTGGCTGTGGGCGCACAGCAGGACGGCAGCACACGTCTGCAACTTCAGCGATGCGCCGTCTCCTCCGGAAACTGCGAACCCTGGGACTCAGGCCCCAGCCGCACGCGACCACAGTGGAGCCTTGGGAGCGCCGCGTGCTCCCAGCCTGGGCCCTCCGTCCACGTCCGCGTGGGGAGGAGGCAGAGGGAGGCGTCAGCTCAGCCGCACTGATCAGCCGAGCTGAACCTCTCAACTTCGGCTTCCCTCGTCTGTTATCTCTGCTCTGAGGTGCCCCTCAGTCCTGTGCCTCCTGCCCCCGGATCGGACATCCCGGGAGTGGGCGCCTCCACCCCACAACGTCCTGGGGGCATCCCCAGACCCACCTCCAGGCTCCACACTGCGGCTCTTCAGTGCAAACGTGGTTTCCCAGCTGCTCTGGGGTGACTGTCTGTGTCCTCCCACATTCTCGTGTGGAATCCTAACCCCCAAGGTGGTGGTGTCACGAGGTAGGGCCCTCATGACGGGGTCAGTGCCCTAATGAGACGCCACAGAGCTCCCTGCCCCTCCCACACGTGAGGACATGGCGAGAAGCTGCCGTCTGTGAGCCAGGACTCGGGCTCCCACCAGACCCCAGACCCGCTGGGCCTCCATCTTAGCCTTCCAGCCTCCAGACAGAGAGTTAATTAAGTGTCTGTTCAAGCCGCCAGAAGGGACCAAGACACTGGCCTTCCCGGTCTCTTCCCCTTCCTGGGAAGTTAGCTGTGCAGTGGAAGCTCTCCCCTGATCCACGAGAGCCCCGATGCTCCGGGGCTTAGTGACTCAGGCTCTGCCCTTCGTCACCCGAAGCCCCATCCCCAGTAGGAGAGACTATAGCCAGTGTGACGGTCACTGGATGGGGAGAGAGAGGCCTGTGGCCTGGAGACCTGGGAGGGCGGCGTCCACGCAGCCATCAGCACTCGTCCACACAGCAAGAAGCGCTGAGTTGTGAACAAACCCTCTTAATAAAACTTGGACAGTAATCACGCAACAAGCACCACGTGCTCCAGGACGTGGAGCACCACGTGCTCCAGGGGGTGGGTTCATCCTGGGGAGAGGGCTCCCTGCCAGGGAGGTTTCTGCAGCGGACAGGGCCTCTGAAGGGCATACGAAGCAGCCGACCCCTCCCACGTCACTTTTCACGAGAAGCAGCCTGTGAGCGACATGCGTTCACCCAAAGGCTGCTCAGTGAGCTGGGGGCTGCAGGGAGGACAGGGCTGCGTCTGGAGTCGGGCTGCAGAGGCAGCCCGCGGCCGGCGCTCACCCACGCGCATTTCCCGGTGCAGAGCTGGGACGATGGTCCCTCGGGGGGCCCTGGGCAGAGGGGCTGGACATGGGGTGCCCTCCTCCTGCCGCCTCGGGCCTCATGCTAGGGAGCTGGGTCCCCAAGCCTCTCGCGGGCACTCCCTCCCAACCCCGCGCGGAGGGCGCAGGCCTTACCAGGACCATATGGCCGGTGGAGATGTCCATGTTGGGCTGCACGGGCTCCTCCGACCAGGACGAGGTGCTGCCCCGCGCGGAGGGGCTGGGAATCGGCCCGTCACTGAACTGGGAGGACACGCTGCTGACGCGGGACGTGTGCGCGGTCTCCGGGCGCTCGGACGGGCGCGCGGCCATGCGCTGCCGGCACAGCTCCTGCAAGACAGCGGGCGCCGGTCAGAGCCTCCCTACCTGCGTCCCCAGGGCCAGGGCCGACGGGATCCACCCGTGACCACGCACAGATGTACACACGCCACACAGAGACACACACAGGTACACACACACCACACAGAGACACACACGGGCACATACGCAGTAGACACACACACCCCCGACACAGATATACACACAGATGTACACAGATACACACACACCACACAGATACACACAGATAGATACGCTATAGACACACACAGATATACACACATAGATACACACAGATACATACACGCCACACAGAGTCACACAGATAGATACGCTAGAGACACACGCAGATACATACACACATACACAGAGACACACATAGACACACACAGAGTTAAACAGATACACAGACACACACAGATACGCACACAGACACACACAGGTAGACACGCACAGATTCAGAAGGGGCCGCTGGGCCAACTCTGGCCTCCCTGGACCCTCAGAATGGCGTGTCATGTGCACTAACTCAGGCCCCTTCCTTATCAGAACGTGGGCCCAGGCGGGAGGGAATCCAGAGAAGCGCATACAACAGGGACAGTGCAGGGCGGATGGGGAACGCGGCCCCCTGGGCGGACACCAGACACGGGGCTCGGGCTGACGGACGAGCCCCCCCACCCGACGGAGCTCGGCTGGGTCAGTGCGGAGTCTTGGGCTGCCTTGTACAGGGATGCGTGACCAGCCTGGCCGGGGAGGCCCCTCCGTGCCTGTGGCCCTGCAGCCGCCAGACTCGGGTCTTGGCCGTCACGCAGCCCCCGGGAGACTCAGCCGGGCACCCTGCTCCCACCACTTCTGAGCGACCAAGCGCCCTGGGGGAGACTTCAACAGTCACGATTCGGTGACTCCCAGCCTCTGCCCAGTGAACACGTCACTGTCACCCGAGCCGTCAAACAAAACGACGTCAAGAAGTTTATAAGAGCATCTGAGCCCAGGAGTTGAAAACTTGTTCCGGGGAGAAGGGACTCGTTGGAGGTCTGAGGGTCCCACACGCCCCTTGCTCTTCACCTGGTGCCATCAGGGGCCCGCAGCCCGCTCGCCCAACCAGCGCCGCGCGCCACAGGCCTCTCAACTCCCACGGGCACGGCCTCGGCCACGGGGCTGGTCCCCGCTTCCTGTCCTCTCACGCGGCTGCCGCTTACTGGGCACTAAGGGTCGACGTGAGGCCGCTGAGAGCTCGCTCGCTCGCCCCGGGGACGCGGTGCCGGCTCCTCCCCAGGTCGGAGGACGGCTCAGGCGCTTTGAGGGGGGGCCGGCTGGATGTGAACCCCCAGCCGGCCCCCCAGGTGCTAGAGAACCTGGCGACGGGGATCAGTGTGGGCACCTGGAGGAGGCAGCGGAAGAGACGATCTAGAAGAAAAAAGGGCCAGCGGTGAGGGTGGGGTCTCCCTGCCCAGGGCTCAGGAATTTCACACGGCTTCTAAACAACAAATCTGTCTGAAATTCCACCCACGTTTCCTCAGAGTCTTAAAAACAAAAAGAAACCCAGACACACCGGGTGATTGTAATAAGGCAGATGATACTAGGACCCAAGTCCGTGTCTCACTGATTTCCCACTTACGCATGTGGAAAGTTACTTGATTCTGGGAGTGCCCACCAAAACATGTTTCTGCAGTAATTTCTGTGGTTTCCTTTAGTTCACCCAGAAGAACAGGCCCGATGAGCTTAGGCTAAGAGAGCTCAGAAAACGTCCTCCAAGAACCGGCTCCTTTGGGGAAGGAGACGTGAGATGCCTGAGATTCACCCTCTGAAAAGCAAAACATCAGAGCAGCTGGGTGTCTGCCCGTGGAGGTGCCAGGGACGAAGAGCGAAGGCCAAGCCTGCATCCCCGTCCCACTCCGGTCCCCGCGGAGGGTGGAGCGCCCTGGGCGGGGCCCTCGCGCCACCAGACCTTATGTGAACTTGGGTCAGGCGCTCAAGGCCCCCAAGCCTGAGTGCCGTCACTTAAAAGTGGAACGAACAGGACAGTACAGAAGATGAAAAGGGTTCACGTGTGTGAGGTGCCCGGTGCGGTGCCTGCCACGAGGTCCCACAGTCAATCAGTGCGACGATAGAGGTACTGGTGCAGTGAAGATAAGAATAATTCTTTAAACCAGAACAAATTCTCGACGGCTTGGCGAGTTCAAAGATATTTCTAAAGGAAGCAAGAATTTTAGAGGTGGAGGTGCCCACAGAGCATCCACTCAGGCCTCCTCATTTGGTAGACGATTAGGACTGATTTACAGGCTCGGTGAAGGCCTCACAGGTGCCTGGTGGCACCCGGGGACCGAACCTGTGACTCAGGCCCAACACTCTTCCTGCTGCTGCGGAGAGCAGATTCCCCTTGTGGGTCTTTGTTTTCTAAAAATAAAAGCTGCAGTAAAGATCCAAGAAAATTCGGTCACCCCCATTTCCAACAGCAAACAATGCTGAACATCGGGGCCTGGACTGGAGAGAGGAAGCCCGGAGGCTGGCAGCCCGGGTGATGGCGCTTTATGCACAGGGGAGGTTCCCGGGCTGCACAGGGACCCCGGGGGTGGGTCAGGCCTTCACCACGTGCTTCCATCTGCAAATAAAAAATGGGTGCACCTGCTGAGGTGGGACGCCTGACCTCGAACTGACCGCAGTCCCGTTTCTACCTCTGGACTACCTGAGAGGTGGTGAAGCCAGGGTCTCTGCAAGGGTCAGGCGGTGGTGGGGCCCCCGCGGTGGAAGCGCGGCCCCTGGGAGGCCTGGGGGGGGTCCCGTCCAGCACCGGTGGCTGGGTGGGAGGGGGTGTGACACACCTGGGGCACAGCAGCCCCCGTGCCCCAACCTCCCGTGAGCCACCAGCAGAGGTGTGTTCCGAGGGCCGTGAGGAGACATTAGGGGAGCCCCTGCCTCCAAAAAGCTGCCTGGGACACGCCCACCAGGCCACCCAGGCTGCGAGGCAGCTCCTCCTAGAACCTGGCCCAGGGCGCACCTGTTCCTCCAGAGGCTGCAATGAGAAGGTAACACATTTCACGTCGATTCTTTCTTAGCTTCCGGGAGACTCCCATCGGCTCACATCCTGGAGTCTTGGCGATGCCTGACCCTGAGTCCCGGCTGCGGCTGTTACTGGCTGTGTGACCTTGGGCAAACCACCGAACCTCTCTGGGCCTCAGAGAGGCACCAACCTGGCAGCTCTCGGCAGACGCGTCTGGGAGATTGTCAGCCCTCGTCGCTAACCTCCTCAGCAAACCACGCGTCCAACCGTGCTGGATGCCGGGCACGCCGGGCGGAAGCAACCAGGGCCCGAATTCCGGGGGCTCACAGGCCAGCGGTGCTGAGCGGTGACAAGAGGTAGGGAGGTGTCAGGACGGGAGCCCTGGTCAGCGTGGGGCTGTTGGCGGGGACCCGGCGGGACAAAAACAGCTCTGGAGGCTGGGATGTGGGCGGTTCGGGCCCGCGGGGCTGCAAGAGCTTCCCCGCGGGTGGGGCTGCAGGTCGGGGAGCAGGGGGACGGGACCGTCCCGTGTCACCCCTGGGGCGGCAGTGCTGGTGCCCCCGTCCCGCATCTTCGCTTTGCCCCCGTAAGTGCGCTTGGGTTTCCGGAATTAAGATGTTGGGAGCAAGCCGTGTGTGTGTGGCCCAAGGCCCACCTGCGCTGACGGGCTCTGGACACGTCGGAGGGAACCGTTCACCTGCGGTTGGCATCTCCCTGCACCGTGCCTGTGGCTGAGGCAGCGTGGCTCGCGGCTGTGGCTGAAGTTTTCCTGGTCCCTTCAGCCTGCAGCTCAGCTCGCCCACGGGGGTCTGCCTGCCGCACTCCGCGAGGCCGGGGTCCAAGCCACATCGTCCTGACCTGAGACACAGGTTGAACGACATCATCTGGCTCAGATTAGGCTGTTGCACGAGCGGCAGTTGGGGAGCCAGAGCAGGGCCAGAGCTGCCACTGGCTTCAGAACAACGGGGCTGGGGGAGCCAGGCCACACACACACGCCTGGACCGCAAGGTGGCAAGGTCCACCTCCACTGCTGCCCTTGAGCTTAACACGAGAAGGCCAGACCTATCTGTTTGTGACAGAAACAGGGATCACTCGAAAGTGGTTCAGTGTGAGCGCGAGTCTGGTGATCACGCCCCCCCAGGAGGAGACACACCGGTCCCGCTGCCTGAGGAAGGGGCTCGGGGGAATCTTCACTCATGGCTTGTTCCGCGTGGTCCCAGGCAGAGTCCCTCCGTGTCCCTGTGGCCGCCGCCTGACCCCGAGCCCTGAGCTCTCACGTCTGGACGCGCATCCTCCCCTACCACCTGCTATGTCACCCTCCTTGCGCTGTCACAGGACTCTCTAGGTGTCCCCAGAGAGGCAGGCAGCATGCAAAGAGATGCAGAAATCTCTGGGGGAGTCACGCATGGCCTTTAAATTAGTGGTTTACGTTGATTACAGCTTGTAAACTAATAACAGAAATTCTATATTTTGTCCATGCTCTGCACTATTGCTTTAAACTTTCCAAGGAAAAATGAACTTCTTTTTAGAACATTACTGCCTGACTTAGTGATGGTCTGGCCAGGACACTAACTGGATAGTCTGGAAATCCCTCAGGTTTATGGTTTTGTGGGCATGTTTCAGCCCATGGTCCGCAGATCTGAACCCCTCGGGAGGGCCGTCAGCCATGGGTTTACCAGGGAGCTCCTGCTTCCATGCCTCTCCCCCCCACCCCAGGCCTGACGGTGGCACGTGAGCTCTTTCTTCACTTAAAAGCACCATCTCTCCCTGAAAAGGCATCCGCAGTCCACACGGCAAGGCTGAAGGCACGACCCCACTGACCCCTGCGAGCCACGGGCTGGGCTGAAACATTCATTTTAAAAGTAATTTGAAGTTCCCATCACGCAGGGAACTGCTATCAGGTCAAAGCACTTCCCTGAGCTTACTGCCTGCATTTATTACCGATAAGGGCCACGCACGATAGGACAGGACACTCATGTCATCAAGTGACAAACACCACCATCAACCAGATCAA